AAAAAAAACGTAAAATTAGTAATTAAAAATTTAAATGCTTTTATGTTTTTATTGTCAAATATGTCTAATTCAAAGTGAGATAAACTCAAAGTACTGTTTTACCGTTTATGAAAAACTGTAACTGGCAGCCTCAATTAGCAGAGTTTAGAACTTTTGATATTCTATTTTGTAAGCACTTTACTGTGCGATTAACGGCAACACCATAGTAAATATTTTTAAGATGAAAAGTTTTATAGGTTTAATCAATTCTGTGACTGTTTACATAACTCAGATGCAATTATTTTGTAATGGCAAAAAGTGAACTGATTTGTCTTTTCGGTCTGATTGCGTAGTTTTTTTTCAGAACTAACAAATTGCCAGATGCTACTTCTAAAACTGAGATTGAGAAGGTAGTATACTCCAGACTTGACTGGATATAAAACAAAAAAATTGTTGGTACAACTTAGGTAGTTTATTCTTTTGAAAATTCATCTTTAAAAACATATAAAAAATTGAACACAGTAAGATTTGACCAACAATCGATTATCAAATACAAATAAACAAATACAAAAATTATTAAATTTCCTTTTGTACAGTGTTCAGTATAAAAAATTAGAAAAAAATGCCTTTTTTTGCTGTTGTTTCTAATCTTATCACTTTCATGTACAAGCAATTTACCTAATTTTTTCTGGACATACACTTAAAACTATGAAACAGCAGTTATCTTACAAAAAAATTTTTAGAAATAATTACTCTTTTTTGCATAAATTATTTGAATTATCAGAGAAAGCATAAATTGAGCAAAACTAGAGTGTTTTAAGATATCATAGTCAAGGTGTATTCAAAGTTCAAATAGAATATGAGATAGGGTGAAAAATTGTTAAAATACGGCATAGATTTAGGCTTACTTTGTAACATAAGCTGCTCTATTTAAAATAAAGCTAGAAAACTTGACAGTGTTTAAAACCAGTCAAAAATGTTTTGTACTACTTCAAATTTCAATTTTAAGAGTATGTGAAAAAATTAGTGAAAATAAACTGTATCAAAAATTGGAGAAAGTCGGTGGACGTAATCAACAGTTTATGGCTAATTCGCCAGAAGAAGCTGGACGAAACTTTGCGGACCTTATACCGCACCATGACGAACTGTACGCACTAAACAGTAACATCTCTTTTGACGGAATTTTAGACGTATGTATTGAAAATACACTAACCAAAACAGTTTCTATAAGCAAAAAAAAAATTTTTTTTTTTGTTTTTCAGCACTGTTTTATTTGATCACCTTTGTTCAAGTCATTAGAAGCTTTACAAATACTTTTCTCTCTTTTAATTTAATATGGTTTATACCTTCCGTAAATTACTTCTTTTTGTACAATTTTCTTATAACAGCTTTAATTCTTTTGTCACTAACGTTCGCTTAAACTCAATCCCTTTACAAGTAATAATTTAGAAAGTAAAATAGCGTTTTTCTAGGAACAGCCAGAAGACGATTGCGATTCTTCATGTACAGAAATAACGCAGAGGTTGAGGGACTGGATAAAAGATGAAGAGAGCGACTATTACGCCGATTACGAAAAGAAATTTTATGACCATGGTCCAGCAGAAGTGCAGGAAGGAAAACCTGGATCTTTCAAAGTCTCGTGCAGCCTCGGTTGGTTGCCCAGAATATATTAAATGATAAAGCAAAGAAATCGCAATATCAACAAATTTTTCTCTTTTATTGAATATTCTTTATAATTTTGTCAACCGGTCATAGAAGATGACATGAAAGAAATTTTTAGAGCAGTTTATACCAGTGACTAATTGTACGCCAAGAGGTGAAGAAGAAATATGGGGGCACGGAAAGTTGTGTACAGCATGTCATGGCGTTTACACATTAAGTAAAGACTGTTTTCCTCGGTTTGTAAATTCAGTTACCTGCGGTAGTGACGATGATCGTTGTATCTTTGATAAAATGCCTAAAGGTTAGTTGGCCCCTGCATCCTGATAACTTTCTTAGGAAGAGGCGTTCTTGTTGAAGAAAGAAACTAGCGAACTGAGGAATTTTATGAAACGATAATTTTTCCTGCTTCTTAGTGATAAGTCAACGTTAAAATGACCACAATTCTTTTTACACATTGACTTTATATAACGTCGCCTCAGCTATATAAATTTTTTCATAAAAAGTCATTATTACAGCTCATGGTAAATGCCAGTTACGTACATTGAGTTTCAAGGTGCTCAGAAATCAGGGAACTCCTAAGTGTGAGCAGTGGATGTATGAATACATAGATGTACCCATTGCCTGTGAATGTTATTTAGATAAAAGTTCACCTTCGCTTTCAGCAACTCCGTCTCAAACGGGTAATAGTTTTTTCTGATTTGTAAAAGTGGAAAAATAAAGTGCAGTAGAATTGCTTTTCTAAAACGTTGTTTTGCAGAAAAAAAAATTTATTAGAAGCTTCTCTCGTAAAAAAAATTTTACAAATAGTAACTATTTTCTGAAGATTCTAAATAAATGGCAGTTGAAATGATGGACTTTTAGGCCAGGGAAGAACTACAAATAAATTTCAGATTAGTCATGATGGCAGTTTTCTGTGTACAAAAAACCCTTTTTGGTGCTTCAAAGACAGAAGAAACTTCAGTTGAGATGACTGTTTCAATGACACAGGATTTCCGGAACCTTAAGCAAGAATACTGCCAGTTTTTCTTCTCTGTCTATCAGTGCTATAATCAACATATTTCAAGCGCCACTGATAAGGAAAAAATTTCGGAATTCGCATGTCAGACACGACGAGACAGCCTTCT